AAATTAAAAAAGTATTTTTCTCGATTTGAAGGTAGTTTCCTTGGGTGTAAGATAAAAGAATAGGGAGGGGGAGATGAGGGGGAGTAGTTTGATTAAAATCACTGGATTGGAATTATTTTATCGGGGCATTTGTTAATTCTGCTATAATTCTGGTAGATTTTCCACGGCTTTTTTGTTTCATGTACTTTGAGTACTTGACCTACATACGATAGCTGTAAGTCTCGTGATGATCGAGAATTACCCCAATCCATTATGCAATTAATAAGCTAATTCATCATTCCCGCGATTAATGTCGCTCACAATTCAACCACCATATCTCGAAATGACGTATTTCTTGCTAGTTAAATGACCAGACCAACATGTTACAATCAACACAAAATCGGATGAACTTTATTTTCAATAATGTATGGAGCTTTTTTATTGCTACGCTCAGGCGGTACGATAGTATAATCCAAAAATTTGACTGTCGAATTGAAAGCTATTAATGATTATTTTGATATGAATGATGATATTGATGATTTGATGATCTAAATTATTTCCCACAGATTACAGCAGTTCATTTTTTGAAATTTCAATTATGAATCTTAATCTTCTAGTCTCTCGGAATGAGCAGTCGATTTGGGATTTACGATCTTTTGAAATCCCCGCGTATCTTTAGCTCAAATCTTCTGATTTCCATTAACTTCATTGCTATAATTAAACCGAGATTTACAGTCTCGGAAATTTTCAAATCGGATGATGAGGTTTCAACCAGTAAATTCCTTGAAATCTCAATAAAACGGTCGCATATGCAAGGTCTTCATGTTTAGTGGAATTGCACCCAAAAATGTTTGACACAGTTATAAATTTTTAAGTAAGACGAGATTTCTGGGAAAACCTATGAGTTAGACGGCTACTAAAATTCAAGGTTGAATTTAAATAGAATTCTCCCACGATGGTTAAATTTTACGATGCAGAGTAATTTATTGCGAAACAGTTCGAGCACAATTGCATTCTGCGAATAACCAGATGCATGAAAAATAGACAGTATACGCTGACCGAAAATCACGGGAGTTTCACGACAAAAATTCGCTATAAAATCGTAAGTGTGGAATAGAAATTCAAGGCTGTGGCGGTTACATTCCGGATGCGGCACAATTGAATTTCATTACGCCACACTAAAATGCGTGTTCATGAAAATGTCATTGTGCTGCATCCGAATATTTCCTGTATGGCAAATTGAAAGCTGCTGATTTTATTATCTCCAAATAAAAGGTACCAAGCAGATAAGAGTTGAATGGCGATTTAAAAAATAATCTTCTGTCATTTTCTGTGCGGATGATTATTCTTATCAGATACATTAGGTAAAAGTGCCTTCTACTCTGTTCAAATTTATTATACCTCGTGTGATTCACGTTCACTTGATTTTTCACGCATGACAATTTTTCATTTCAGTAATTTACATTCCACGCAATTGAAATTGTTCTGAATTCCTGTACGGAGAGAAAAATCCAACGAAAATTGCCAGAAAGAGAGTATGAAAATGGAATTTTTAAACTTAATTCGCGCGCAATTAAAAATTCAGATAAAGTTCATTCGTATAGAGGCAGAAGTCAAATCATTCCATCATTTTTTCACAAAGATTGATAAATTTTACGGGACGAAATGCAAAGCTAATGCACCAGGTTCATAAAAATTGTTGAGTGTTTAAGAATTTTCTATTCTGGAGGCATGATGGATCGAGAAGGTTCGGTAAGATTTCACTTCAGAAAAAATAACGTGACAATTTAGTACTTCGATAATTGATGAACCCTAGAATCCACGGAATCTATCAAACGCGTCTCCTCCATTCCATTAAAAATTATCGGAAAAGGGTCCCTAATTCCTGATTTTTACAGACTTCCTCATTATGGAAAACAACAAAATTTGCAAATCTCTTCATCACCCGAACAAAGCTTTCAATTATTGTAACGAGAATTGACTGGTGCTCCTAGTTTGCCTGAGTTTCCCTACATTCCAAATCATTCCACAACAAATTAGGGTGTAATTGGAGTTATTACCGGATTTAAATACAATTTTCAAACTAATCAGCGAGCAAAAAGAGATTGAAGAAATGTGACTCCACGCTTATATTCTTCCGGAGCGCATTACCCTGAAAAATCTTGCGTGATATTTAGATTTTAATTTGGACGTCGATAGTGAAACGCAGATATATATATATATGACTCGAAAAGATCATGAAATACCGTCAATATTTAAGATAAATTTTTGAATATTACGATGGGTGTGACAAAGTTGCATCAGCAACTTCTGTAGCCCCACAGAATGCTATAAGTATGATACTTAATTATTAATCATCAAATGTATCTATTAATTCTTACATGTATCTTAAGCTTTCTTATTGAATTTCTCTATGTATATTTAACGCACGACTTTTTCGAAATAAAAACTTTATTAACTGCTCTTCTATTCGAAATTATTGTCGCCTCATAAAAATGATCCTCACATGGTTGCATGATTTTACAAGCTTTTTATGAGCTGCATACCATTCCTCTATGACCCCATATGACCCTTATCAGCGTTGCAGCCGCAATAATAGAACACTCCGATTTATTTTTTGTACGTGACTATTTTTTCAACCAAAATTTTTAAGTTGGTGTAAAAACGCATTATGAGTAATAAAAATAGCGATAGTTTACGATGAAATAGCATTAAAATATTATATTAGTTTTTTACTTTTCAGAAAAACGTAACGATCTCGATGTTTAAAAAAATTATTATAAGGATCCGCAGAATCTATATATTTATGTATATTATATGAACATACATAAGTAATGATGATATAATTAATTAAGAATGCAATTTCAGTTCCAGTATTTCATGAAAGTCAAGAAAAAATCTCTCACGTTTCACCTAATACGAAATTCACGTCATGACTTGTGAACTTCTCTATCTTGCAACGACTAAAGAATTACTAATTCCACAGCAATTTCCATAAAGCCTCAAATTCCCCCGTATTTCCCAATCAACAGTCTCTGAAATTTCAATTTTTTCTTCAATAACGTCCGTCTCATGCCAGGCTGCAAAGATATTTCCCATCAAGTCACTTCAATTCGCCAGAAGTCAATAAAAGATCTAATAACTCAGATCGAACTCGAGAGACAGGCCATCACTCGCCCCCAGACCAGGAGATTTTTCCCCCGAAAGTCAATTTAAAAACTGTTAAAGTGATACTAATTCCAAGAAGACGTCTCGAAGAAGCGCGTGTTGAAGATGTTTATCTCTTCCCCACGAGATGCTCGAGATCTCGTAAAGAGATGCCGTCATATCGAGTGTATCGAGTGTTTCCAATTTTCCCTCCAGACGCCAGAGGTGATTGAATATTGAATTCCCAACTCTCTCGTATACACCTCAGATTCCTGATGAAGCCTTCCAATTACTCTAGCAACATTAAACCGGAAATTCAACATTTCTCCTCGTGTTGGGTTAAAACAAGAAATACTCAAATAAAACAACACAATATTTTCCTTTAAATAAACTTTGAATGTCTACCCAAAGTAGAAAATATATTTTTCTCTTACGAAATCTCTCCAACATCTAACCAAAACTAAAGAGAGTTTTCACACTCTAGACTCTAGACTCTAGACTAATCTAGACTTTAGACCCTAAACAAGGTCTCACTTCTGATTACCTCTTTTTTTTATTTCTGTGTTGATTACTCTGTGTTCTATAATTACTTTTCTCTGTGGATACATATTTTAGAGAGGAGTCATAAAATCATTTCTCAAAATCTCCAATATGAACCAAACTCGGTGGGAGTAATAAATTAGATATTTGGATTAAAGGATTGGTTCAACTGTGTATGCCCCATATTCGGTATAATGTTGTATCTCGAGATTTTGTTCACTTGCATCGAAATGCAACTGTGCCTCAGGGATTCAGTTGAAATGTGGGGCTGTAGCCTAGAGACGCACTGAGCTTATGGAGAAGGGGAAAATAGAGGTGGATATAGTGACGTATCGACCGGTTCGGGGTCATTCGGGGTCAGCAAAGTTCACAGCGTCTGTTGGTTCACGAACCCAGTGAAAAAGTAGATTGCTCCCTAACCGAATAATGTCAGGAGGGAGAATTTTTTAATACATTAATGAGTAATGAAGGGAGTAGGAAAGATCATCTGACATTTCCATTTGATCAGGACTGACACGCTACCCCATACTCAAAGAAACATGGCATATTGATGGCTCCCGACAGTTCCTCCGAAGAACATTTTTTCCATTCATTATGTCATGGGCGGTTGATATTCACAAAATTCTACTTTAAATTTTCATCTACCGCGGAGTAACGAATTTAAGGAGAAATAATTTCTCATTCAAGTATTTCTCGAGTTTGTACTGCACTGGGAAATCTGGGAAATTATGAGGATTCAGATAAGTTCGGGGAATTTTCGAGTAATTAAACGTTGAATTGTGTTCGATGTTCTATTTTTGTGAGTCTCATAATTCCAGATTTTATTGGAAAAGCAAGGATCGTTTGAGGCGAAAAACATGATTTTCTTAGATTTAAAAAATTATTATTTAAGAGAATGTTCAATTCCTCGGGTAATCTGTTAATTTATTAAATGTTCATGTGATTTCTTATTCCCAGGTCCATACCACACTGAACCAAACAGAAAATGATAGAGATTCCGGCACTACCTTCGCAGAATTTCCAATAAATTAAGTTACCATTAGGGTTTGAAGTTAAATTTTCACGAGTTTGAAAAATTCCAGATCTCGTCCGGATCATTAAAAGATCATAAATCGTTTAATACCTTTAATAATCCGATTTTCTTAAATTGAATTGAATTTTCTTGAATTTTCAAGATGAATAAACAATCCAGGGAATGATTCCGATTGAAATTTAATTCGATCTCTCATGAATCCTGGACCAGAAAATTCCACATAATTTCTACCAGTGTATGCTGATGATTTAGAGATTGAAAATCATGGACATGAGTATGAAGTAATTGCAATGAATTACAGGATGATTGGGGCGATGCCAGCAGTTGCCGTGCGCCATGAGCGTAGAAGACAGGAAAAGCGGCTTAAACGTCCAAGCCAGCTTTACCTGGGTGGACAATGGATGCCACCGCCTTCAGGTTCACCCCCAACACCCAGTCCCCACGGACACAACAGCCACCTCGATCCCCTCCCCGAGCTCTACCTCTGCGGCAAGGTGATATCAAATCATAACTCCATTATTCTTCCCTCAAATTATTATCATCAAACCTCAATTATCCAAAGCTAATAACCCATAACAATTCAATTACCCTTTTTTTTATTTTTACCCATAAAAGAAATGAATGCAGTAAAGTCAAAAAATAAATTCCCAATTTTTTATGTCGGGATAGCTAATTCTGGATTCATGGATTCAAATATGCTATCTTTGGATCACCAAGATCACCAGGAATTTTTTTTTAATCCCATACCTATCGATACCTCAAAAATAATAACTGGAATTCATCCAATTGTGGCTTGAAATATTCGTTCCATTGTTATTTCAACCAGTTTAAACTCGGAAATCGTATTATTGCTTGTCGAAAGATTTTATAGTATGAAATAAATATGAGTAAAATAGAAATTCAACATAAAAGATAAACCATTAACTAGAAACATTGATTGGTGTGATTCGCTTAACGATTTCAATTAATTGTGGAAAATATTCCTCAATGCACGAAAAATTCAATTGACTGTTATATTCAATTTTCATAACGAAATTCAAAATTCAATCTGGCTTTGAAATATTTCTTAAATCGTTTTATCTTAGATATATATTGCATTTGCAATTGCTAGTGGAAATTTAGAAATCAGAAACTCAACTTTCAATGCCTGAATGCTAAATTAATTCATTATGATTGAATAATACAGAAATAATGAAGAATACATGGACTTATTTTTTATTCTACAGATATCCGGATTACATGCTGTGGTGGTGTGTCTGCTCATGGGTGCCGTGATTCTAGTCGTTGGACTAGTCCAACTTGCTCCAGGAGCAACGACCACAGACCACAGACTTGCATTACTTATTGCTGGAGCAACTCTGCTGTTGTTCGGTATAAAATCATGGAAAATTCACTTGTTCAATATTCCAGTGCAATTAGTGCTCATCTCAGATGCAGCATAAATTTCCGGAGGTTGATTTATAAGTCCTGCTTGTGGAAAGCACTCCCATCATTATTTTCACGCGGACAGGATATTTTTACTCTAACTCCGTGTGGTGTGAGAGTAATAATCAATTGTAATACCCCAAGACCTTCAAAATTATCGGATATTTCCTGATTGTTTTGTTGCATGGCAACTTCTCCCGATCGCAGGGCATCGCAGGGAAACTTGGAGGAAATATCCCATTAATTTTGAAGGCCGAGGGGTATTGGGGGATTATTTTACTTATTACAATTAGGTTCTAATTAGAGTACAGTGCAGTACAATAACTAGCCTAATTGAATCAACAGTCTATTAACTTCTGTACGCGAATTTCTGACCGATTTAAGGAAAAGAATGAATAAACTACAGAGCTATAGCGGCTCTGATGAAATCGGTATAAGAAAACTAATCATTAGGATCAATAAATTTTAGGGTGTAAAAATGTAAAGTAATGGTAATTTTTCGATCAATCACCAGGGATAATCCTAGCTGGAGTGAGATGCTACGTTCTCCATTGCATGCCGTTACCAACGGATTCACCAGTGGCAACTCCATTACCTCCATCAAATCCACCAGAGCCACCAGCAAGAGGTACCCTAGACCTCCTGGTGGGTCATGAAAATCCTCCCGAAACCGAGCAAATGATTCATCATCATCATTACCGTCCCCACGGTAATCACAAGAAGAAACGAATCTCTCAGAGCTCAGACCCCGAGGAAGCCTAATGGAACCGACGACTACTCATGGGGAGAACCATTTTCACGTGCGCGATTACGGGTAATTAAACATTTAACAAATAGACTTAAAGTTGATGCAGACATTGGGAATATGTTTGTGAGATTGATGAATTACCGGTAAACGAAGGGACGTTCAATGACGATAAAACGCTTGGAGTGCGGATCTTCGATCTTTTACAACTTTCTATACATCTACTTAAATATTGTATACAAATATACGCACGCTATGTACTCCACATCGAATAGCAACAATGTGTATTCCAATGATAGTACATGACTCTTCGTTTGAATCATTTTTTCAACGAATTTTTTTGGCAATTTTTCAGTCATCTGAGAATTTATTTCTACCGCACAGAAATTTATGATTAAATTTACGGTGACGTTTAGTTATTGCGAGGGTGGTTTGTTATGGAGGATTTTTTTTTATATTTGATATTTCAAGTGAAAGAAATCACAAATTTTGATTGTATGAAATTTATATTCACGTTGGGACTGGGAAATTGTAATTTCCCGGTCGCCACGACAACGGAAATCATTGAAAATAGAAAAAATTCAGGCCATTATGTGAAATTCTAATCAATAGGTAATTCAATTTTCCCAAGGAAGTTCAAAATTCAAGTTGTCCTCGAAATATTAATTGAACCGTGTCACCTCATCCATTTTTTTTATTTAATTAAAACCCAGGGAATTTACAATTTATTTGCAATCATCTCTGGAACTATACCAAATGGTTAAAAATGTTCGCTCTATCTTTCCGGAGTGAATCCAAAAAGTAATATCATCTTGAACATCCACTAAAAATTCAGGAAATTTTGGAATTGAGAAGCCAAATATTCTATTATTTTTTGATTGAAATACCCTGAAAATCAATAATATAATGAATTTTTAAATTGAATTATTAGATAAAGTTCCACAAAATGCCCTTAAAAATTATAGTTTCAACTGCAACACCAGGATAAAAATCCTCTCCGAGACAATAGCTATGGCTAACCGATAAATAAACGTCACCGTAAATTCAGCAATAAATTTTTCTTCATGTGACGAAGTTTGAATTTAACGAGAGCACAGTATTGATACGAAGAGGAATGACAAAGTGGAATTGTGATCATGTGATGAACAATGCTGAAAGAGGAATTAAGCTATCAATACTATCCTCAATACCACCAAGCAATAATTCTGGCTGGAACTAACAGATAGCCTGATGCAGCATGACTGTGTCCGAGTATTAAAGGATTTCAAAAGAGCAAAAAGTATTTTAATGACTCTCACCAACGCATTGTTATGCGAAACTATATGTGTCTTTCGAATTAACGTATTCATTTGAACGATCTATTTACACTGAAATAATATTTTACGATATAATAATATTATAAAGAATAAAATCTTTCGAGCCAATGTATCGAAGAATTAATGAACAGTTCGTTTTTGAGGAATAAAAATCTCTCATCAGTTTCTCTAAATGGCACATGGCATAAATAAATATAGGGAATTGCGGGGTAATATGAACAGATTTTTATATAGATCGTTATAAGCCGATCGAATCTAAAATGATACGCGCCTTGTTGAGAATTTATTAAATTATTATCAGATTCTATGGCATTTAAATTGACTACAAAAAAGATCGTTGAAGCACAGCTAATGAGATTTTTGAGTTGATTCAATGATGTACTGTATTTACATTTTTTTACTTTTTCGAAAATTCCACTCGACAAACTATCGATCGACCAATTACTGAAAATTGAATACTTAATTTGTCTCTCTATATTTATTGAAACATAATAAACTGTTGAAAAATACCAATGGAATTTGAAGTCATGTCCATATTACCCCAGTGTCGGCTGCAAAAAAATGAGAAACTGATAACATTCTTTGATACATGAGGACGCACGTTCGACTACCGTTGGGGTCCACTTAAACTTATGATAAAATATGTAACATCTATACAAAACCATTGAAATAATTTAATATAAAGCGAAATGCGCACTAAATGATCAAGAAACATGCTCGAGCGTGATCTAGACTAGTATTTAATTTTTTGATCATTTCGTGCTGTGATATAATTGTATTGAGATAGTTAAGATCATTCATGTATCGTATGAGGTATTCAATACCGATTGAACTAGTCATCGACTGTTTTGGCAATTTGCGAGGAAGTGAGGATCGATGACTGTTTTATTTTATATAGAATACTTCATGTACATTAGTATATACACAAGTTATTTGTAACGACGGAAAGTCCTTTGATGTGAGCGTTAAGACGAGAGTATTTCTCTCATGAAACAATTCGACTATGCAATACGTAAATGACACTTGTCATGCCATCTGCCCATTATTACATTGATATACAGGATTAAGTTGGTGTGCAAATGATCAGAAGTAGTGGTACTCATTCCAGAATTCTGTGGAACTGTTTGTTAGTCATACTGTATTATACGAATCATTATTTCTTCCAATAAGAGACAGCTCGTTATGAATTATAGATTAAATCGTATAAATTTCATTGTAATTTACAACATGTCAAGTGCACTGTCAGGAATTTTTTTGCAATGAAAGTTTCTCAAATTTTCCAGTTTAAAAACAAAATCTTCTGAGATAGTTAAGTATTAATTATATAGAAAACTATCCTATTATATAAATCTTAATTTCTTCCAAGTTGATGATAGATCGTTATACATTGAGTCTCAGAAATTTAATAGGATAGAATTATGAAGATTTCTTAGTTATTCGTTATTCTCAAAAAACACGGTACAATATTTCCATTGAATAGCGGAGGACCGTAAAATCCCGTCATAGTCACACCTCTCCTCAATTTCTTATTTCGCGTATCTTTCGATTTCTACACTGAACTACCTCCGGACTACAAGTTGTAAACAACCCATTGCTTCGTCCGGCGAGGAATTAAATCTCGAACAAAATAAAGTCCAAAAATAAATGTCTCTTGTATTGGAATTTGCCATGAAAAAATTCGGGGAGCAGAGGAAATATACCAGGAAAAAATAGCCCACACATCCAAAAGTGTTGAAATCCATCCAACTTAATAGACCATAGGAAAATTAAAATTGGTCTATTTTTCCTCTGGTCGATTTCCTCAGGGACTCCGAAATTTCTAATAAAATTTCAACGGAGATTTAGTGGAGATTTCAGTGGAAATATTGGAAAATTTCTACCAGTGTATGCTTATCTTGAATTGTTAACGACGAATAACAACTATATTAGATTCCAATTCGCCCCGTGGCATAAGATTAATCTCCAATTAAATCAATTTAGCTTCCCACGTAATTGTCATGATCACAAGAATAAAGATTGACCAGTGTTTCATCGCGACGATTATAAAATACTTTACAATCAAAAAGACTGGACTGCGCATAAAATGAAATTATACAAGTTGTAAATGTATTTCCTGTCAACGTACGAAAAAATAAAAAAAAAAACACAAACTGTCTTTCAAAAGTAACTCGCTTGTTCGAAGCACCGGTATGCCATGAGTGCATCCACTCTTACCGTTTTTAAAATAAGATAAAAATTTTATAATAGTTGAAAATGAAATGACGCAAGCAAAGAACGACGAAGAAATTCGAGTTATAAATTCTTGAACACAAATTTCAATCTCAGAGTTTACCTGATCGTATGGAATATTTCATTCATCAGCCATTTTATCCGCAACTGTGAATATGAATACGAAATTCACAAGTATTAACGATAGATACTAATTAAAAAATATTTATATGGTTCAACCATGAGATGATAATTAATGTTTGACGTGTTAGTTACAATCTTTTAGCGTCTGAAAGTCTTATTTTTTATATGTACTCGAGCCACGAAACTATTCTGCGATGCTTGTACGTTATAAGGAAATGTGAAAGTTTTAACGATTATATCGCCAAAAGATGTGAATTATACCATTGGAGATCATAGAAAAGTAAATCAGTAACGAAGGGACAAGATCGTTTTAATAAATTCCATCCAACGGTTAATTTCTGTGAGATATCTCCCGCTTTTGGAGATATTTTTTCAAAACTCAGCTAGGATCTAAGTCGAGTTCAATCATTTAACGCGGAGAACAATTACATTGAAATTTCTCCCGACATTCGCGTAAAAATGACAATATTTTTGGTAAATTTCCACCAAAAACATTGTAATTTTTTAATTATTCTCCGTGCACCCCTTCGTCACTGACTATAAGTAAATGTATTAAAACTGCGTTGATCATTCGAGGGTTTTTAATTTTTTACACCTCTAACAACCATCGGGGCTGATAAAAAAATAATAATTCATAAAAATCGAGATCATGGATAAAAATTGAACAATTTTTTGCGTATGTATTATCCAATATTTTTTATACCACATTAAAAAATTAAACGATATTTATGCACACGCACAGCAGATTTGTAACTTCTAAGAACACTGCGATCTTAATACCTCCAATGGGTTACAGCCAATCGCATTAGCGTCAAATATGTTCGCACACAAATCGTGTAATATATATTTGGAAAAAGAGATAAAAAAAAAAAATATTGTAGCCCTTGTATGTGATTATGTGGCAAACATATTGATAATGAAGAAAACTCTCTACTGCTATTGTAACTTTCAGAGTTTAATAAAACGTTTTCACGAACAAATATCATGAGGATTATCGCTTAATCTGCGGTTTAAAATAGGTGCTAATATTTATAATTTTCAAGGTGAAAAAATTCGTTTAGCCTTGATTTTTGTTACATGCACTGCTGGAACTTGTTAAAATTTCATTGACAGTTGCATGACAATTTTCAGGCCTCCGAATTTCCATTGCGTACATTGCATTTTTTCCTTAAATATTCTCATACACGACTCCTCATTACGGACGTCTACGAATTTTATTTTCTTTTTACCATTCGGGGAGAAAAATTCGACAAAAATCACTTGATAATGAAACCTGCGTGATTAAGAAAATTTTTTATTAAATATTTCTCCCCAGAAAATTTCCGTGTAGATAATTCCGATAAAAATAGCAGAAAGCCTCGCAAAAATTTCTGAATATAATTCCCTAAAATTTTAAATCGCAGTAAAAATACGCAATTTTTATTAAATATTACTCCCCAGACATCGGGTACGTTTCCAATAGAAACCCCTGGTTGCACCTAGCGCCTCTGCTCCAGGTAATATCATCACAAGACAAATAACCTCCCGCCGATAACTATCCCCCAGGAACGAGAAAACCCCGAACAGCGGAATTCAGAGGAAATCGACGAGCGTTCCATCACCCCTGGAATAAAACCACACGTCGAAATTGGGAGAAAAATCCTGTAGGCAACTCTATAGACGACATTGACAATCGGGTTTATTTTGAAGTATGACCCACACCGGGGTTCCCCATTGTGGAGCACCCTTAGCCGTTGTGAGGAGGTGGGCGAGCCCAGGGGGTGGTTTATCGACCGGATGAAGACCTCCGGAGCCTCAGTATTCGCGGGACCACCATCCCGTCACAGTGGCGGGAGCCAGTGCTTGACGACAACCAACAAATTGTTTACTAAATACCCCACCTCATCCATTCAGTGATCCGTGACCTCATACCTTCTAAAAACCGTCATCATCTTCAAAAACCTCCACGTGAGTAAAATCACCCGGGGCAAATCACCCCCGACACACCACAAATCAAAATCATCACCACCAAAGCAAAACCTTCTCGCAAAATTTTCCCTCTGGAAGCCCCGGAATATTCCTCTCGAATGATTTATACATGCGAAATACCTCAAGACCTCTCGACTCTACTCCATAAATTCATCTCACGTTCTAAATATGTACATTGTGCGCCTCGAGGGTTAAAGTGTTCAAGGATTCTCACCCATTCACACGGTGCAGGCGATTTTC